CTGGCTGTCTGTGCCATGTCTAAAAGCATTTGATGAGTTGAAGTTGATTACAGTTGGGAAGAAGTGTCGGCCTTCGTCTGGGAGACAGAAACCCTTTGTTCCCACACAGCAGATCCAGTGCTGGCAGCTATGATAAAACAAGGGTTCCTTCTGCTCATGAGAAAAAGCCAGCTGGGTTTGAGGGCTTGTGATGTGGACAGTTGTCTAGTTAAATATGGGGCTGAGATCTTTCTCCTCTTTCCTCTGGAATTGTTTTTCATCTTAAGGAAATGCACAAGACTGAAATTGGTGACTGTGGGGTCAGACTGATGTGGGTAAGGCTCAGCTCTGTCACTCATCAAAACTTTAGTCTGGACAGGCTGTTGACTTCTGTGGGCATTGGGATATGACTAGAGGCTTTGAGGATAAAGGGACAATTGCGAACAGATTAGTGAATGAATGCTAAAAGAGGAAAACAAAATAGTGAAAGATTTTTCAGCTGGGTAAGAAGAGAGGAAATAAATAAATACAAAAAGGCATGGATTTAACAGAGAGTGAGGATAGGGTAGAGGGTGAAGGTCAAGTACAGGCTAGCCACAGTGTGGATATTTGCCTGTCTTTTTTCAGTAAGGTTGAAATAGCTATTGGGAATCATGGAATGCAAATCACAAAGCTGGAAAGGAAATAAAACTGGGAGTTCAGTGCACTTGAGTCCAGCATAGGAAGCTGTGGACTCAGTAGTGAGGAGTTTTAATAAATTGATCAATACACAACGTGTATACACAGCCACAGAATACTCAGTGGGGTAGGGATTCAAGTGGTATTCAAACTTAGCCTGAATTCAGTGGTGAGCAGGGGTTTTGAGCTATTTCTGGCAAAGAATAATGGAGGAACTACGGATAAGTGGGAAAACAGGATAAAACATAGAAGTTACCAAAGAGCCAGTGAGCTTTGTACCTGTGTGTTTGTTAGATAAGAGAGTTTGTTTTTCTAGGCGAAGGCAATGCAGTGCATCAAATGTGGTTGGGCTGCAGGAAGGCATCAGATACAGTTCCTGTGGGAAATTAGTGGAGATGGGGATGTACTAATGTACAGTAACTAGATGGCTGCCATGGTTACAATTAAAAAGGAGGCTACCATTATTTTTACTCAAGAATTCATCTTGGGTAAGCCTTGTCTTGTTAAATGTTTGCCTGAATCTCTGCTGGAAAATTTACAAGTTTACTGGTGATGTTTTGATATGCAGAACAGGGAGGCACAGTAGTTGGTGTAGACAAGAAGCAGAAAGTCTGTTTTACAGGAAAGGCTGACTGGAGGAGGAGGAATCAGTGGTGTTTAGGACAAAGTGCAGAACCGTGCATCGCATGAAGGGCTCAGGGCTTTGAAACAGTAGCATGAAGTGGGTTTTTTTTTGGCTGGGGGGCATGGGGCAGGGTATGAAAAGCTTTGGGAATGAGGAAATGAAGTCACATGCCTGTTTTTTGCATAGCTAAATCTAGACTGTAACTAGGTAGTCCTTTATGCTGAGTCTGAAGGAACTGCAGGAGGAAAACAGGTCCTGTTCACAAAGAATCTGCCTTTCTTCAGGGTAAAAATTTATTTTTCAGAAGTAGTCAGGCTTGTTTGCTTACTGTGTTTCTTGGGACACTGACTGTCAATTTGTGGGTGTATGTATGTGATCCTAGGTCAGAAGAATTATCGCTGTACCCTTTGTGACAAATCGTTTACCCAGAAGGCTCACCTGGAATCGCACATGGTCATCCACACAGGGGAGAAGAATCTGAAGTGCGATTACTGTGAAAAGCTATTCATGCGGAGGCAGGACCTCAAGCAGCATGTACTCACTCACACGCAGTAAGTGATCTCACAGGGTGTGTTGGACTGGCCAGTGTGTAATAAATAATGAAGTTCAACAGCCCAAGAGAGAATCTCCAGTTTGCAAATGGTTTGGCCTAGGGAGTATAGGTCCATCCTCTAAAATGACAGAGAAGTCAATCTGGACAAATTCCTTGTTACTGGCTGAAGTTGTCCTATTCTAGTGTTTGCAGTATTTTAATGACACAGTAAATTCCAGGCGTGCACCTTGTCTAGTGAAATGGCATTCTGGAGCGTTCATCATTTTGAAGAGAGAGGGGGTTGGCTGGTTTACATTTAGTTGTCTGATGAGAACTGTTTCCATGTCCCAGCATGACCTCAAAAAATCATAAACTCCTCAATGCTATTCTCACCAACTAGCTTGTTAGTGAAGCCTCCCTCTCTGTTTGCACCAGGGGCGGGGTGCTGCCATTCCCAGCTCTTGCCTACCCCCAGGTCTCATTCATGCACTTGGTTTCCTGCTCCTCCTGTGGGGAGATGCCCATGGTCAGGGCAGATCCCTACCCCCAGGTCCTCCTCCAGTTAGCCACAGGTCTCTCCCAACCCCTCGGCTTTCTGCCAGGCCAGATCTTTCCTTTTGCTGTGAGAATCTCTCCATCCTGTTTAGTTACTCCCAATCCAAGGTCCTCCCTTAAAGGCTGCTTGCCCAAAGCTAGTCCCTCTGCTTATTTCATTTTCAGCATCTGGTTCTTGTACTCTCTTGGAATCAATTGCTGCTTCTGTCGTGCTGCCTAGGAGACAGCATAGTGCAGCTAGCATGAGCAAGAGAGAGGCAGACAGACAGACTTGCTTTGCTGCTTGTTCTTGCGGCCAGAGCCAGGAGGACTGCTGTGGGGAGGTGTTTTGCACAGTCATCTACAGAATTTGACTGTTGCGGTCTGGTAAGCCTCTGCTTAGTATTTACAGACTGAGGGTTGTTAACACTCAGCAGCTTTGTTTTCTTTTTTGTTCTTTTTTTCCCCCATTTATTTAGGGTGGGAAGGAGGGAGACAAACCTTTCCACCATGGCAACATCTCTGCCCTCGCCAAAACATGGAGCTTAACCAGAGTTTGGCCTTACTTAAAAAATAAACAAACAAACCCCTTGTAGAACTCTTTCTTCTTTATCATCATGAAAGAAAAACAGTTGGCTATAAGCTAGCATTAATCCAAAAAGCCTGACTTCTGCCAATGATGGGGGTGGGGAGGGGAGCAGAGAAGAGGGGCTTTGTGTATGTACTGTGTGAAAGAAAACTGAGCAGTATTTACACTTTAGTGCTGTTATTTCTGGACTGCTTCTCCTTCAAGTATATTGGAAGTGATTTAGGAGTAAGACTGACCCTTTCACCCTTCCTGTCACCACCACTCCACTGTTTAATACAGTGTCAGCTTTGTGGCAGGAGCAAACTAACTTTTTCGTGTCTTGCAGAGAACGGCAGATCAAGTGCCCCAAGTGTGACAAGCTGTTTTTGAGGACAAATCACCTGAAGAAGCACCTCAATTCACATGAAGGAAAGAGGGACTATGTCTGTGAAAAATGCTCCAAGGCTTATCTAACCAAGTATCACCTCACTCGCCACTTAAAAATATGTAAAGGCCCCACATCCAGCCTGTCAGCCCCAGAGGAGGAAGAGGAGGAAGATTCAGAGGAGGAATTAATAGACTCTATGAGGACTGAAAACTGTAGGATTAACAATGGAGTCTATTCAACAGGTGATGCCCTCTCTGGACACAAATGAAGAGAAGAGAGAGGGAAATTTTCTTGGATGTTAAAAATGGGGAAGGAAAAAACCCGCTCTTCCTTATTTCCCCAGTCAACAGTGTATGTCAAATGAGTTTTCCTCCTGTTTTGGTCACCGCACTACACCGCTGCTTAAACTCTATAGCCAAAATGCTGAATGAGAATGGATCACGCATGTAGAAGTGAAGAGTTGCTAAGAAGGAAACATGAGGCAAGGAGACTTTTTCCCACACACTGTGCATACTTCTTTTCCAAATCACTCAGATTAATCCATCCAGTGCTGGGATACATGACACATCTTGCATAGCCCTTTGAGTAAAGAGCCACAAACCAGAAATGTAGTCAAGTGATTGCAGTGACCTGTAAGCCAACTGTCCTTAACTGCCAAAGCCACATCACTAAGAAAAACAAGCAAAAAAACAGTGGTGGCAGTTGATGCCTTTTTCTTTTTAATACTTTTTAACTGAAGGCTGTAGTTTGGCACAGAACAAAGACTGTCAATGCTCAGGTTTCCTTCTAAAAAATAAGAAAAAAAGCTTTGTGTTAAAAAAAAAAAAAGCCAGTAAAATCAGCATTTGCAGACAAAGCAATTACCCCACTACAGAAAATCAAACATTGGCTTTCGGAGAACAGTTATTTCCTCTTCTCACTCTAGTTCACTAGAACATGTAAGCAAGTGAAGAGGTAAAGACTGTATAGACTCAGTAAGGAAGAGGCTTACAGATGATCAGGCAGTGTTTACAGTATATATTACTTCTTGTGCTGTAAACCTTTTACCACCTAGAGTGATGGGACAGTTTGCTGCTATTATTATTTATGGAATGAAGATGTATTTCATTTGCTTGTTTTCATTTAAAAAAATTAAAAATGTGGCTCTTTTCTAATGTTCTTTTTTAATATTTACACTTTCTGAAAAAGTTTCCTATTTCTGATAAGAGAAATAACACCACTTTTTCATCATCTGTCTCTCCTAAGCTTTCCTGGGACAAGGTATGGGTAGGAGCACCTCCATGAAGCAGTACAGCTAAGAACTTGTCTTTAAACCTTGTAAATTTGCTGTGTGGCTCCTCTGTCGGTGCTGTAAAAGAACAGTAAGCTGAGCTCTGTTCTCTGATGAGGTAGTTGGAGGTTCCCTCATGAAAGAGGCTCCAGCTCCAGTTCGTGCCCTAAACGGCATAAGTTCAGCTGTGCCTCTCCCTGTACACTGTATTTCCTAGAGAGCTCCCTGGGTTCTTCAAGCCTGAAAATGCCTAACGCTTGCCCTCTGAGATCAGTATGTGAATAAAAAGCTCCAGAAAGACAGGTTGAGGTATTTTGCTAAGTCAAGGGAAAGATGTGTTGCTTGCAGTAACACAATTTCTTCCTAAAATAAAAAGCAACTTCTAGAGCTACTGTGCCAGTTAATACCAGAAGTAGAGATAACATATTCTAGGTTCCTGCAGAGCCATGCTAAACATCTGTCACCAGACTAGAAACAGCTGAATTGGATTCAGAAGCAGCAACCTAACTTCAAGGAATGGGAAGGAAATCTACAGCCCTGCCTTTCCCCCATCTGCTGTTTGTACTGATACAATTGATCTATCATCTGCTTTATCTCACCAGAATGAGTTACAATGAGCTAGAGTGGAAAGCAGCCATAAGATCTTGTCAACTACATGCACTGACACTATGATACCAGTTGCTTTAATACCCAGGGCATTTTTGTAGCAGCAGCACTTTAACAGACACCTTCTAGTGGAGGGAAGCACTTCACAAGAGGATGAGAGTATCCTTTAACTTCTGGCCTGGGGTAAGGCACTTAGGTGTTCCTTTTAAATGTGATGAAATTGTTTGACTCGCATTCCTTGATTAGGTTCCTGATGCTATAAACAAAGCATTTAAGTAAGTCAGGGGTTAGGCTGATACTCAGAATGTTCCTCTGTGCCTTCAGGTTTCAGGCCGAAACGCCTGGGAGGAGTTAAGAACCTAAGTACATAACACAGACAGCTTTCACGAGTGACAGTGACCAGCTGAGATCCCTACCCTTGCTTTGTGTCCTGACAGCCTCCCACCCTCTTCTGCATAGTAGCTCCTTATTTCAGTTCAAATTCTCTTTATGGATACTACATTTGGAGCTTGAAGAAAAACCCAATACACATGGCAACATCAATACACTTCAGGTGCTGTAGAATCAGGGAAAAGAGACCCTCCATCTTGATGGGAGAGAGCTGGGATTTATGGTCTGATAGTGGTGATCTGAGGTGCTACAAATACATTTCAAGATTGTAGTCAGGTACTCCAACTTAAGAAGGGCCAAGAAATACTATTAAGACTTAAAAAAGTTACATAGAACTTTTAAAATCTGTATTAGAAATATGTACATCTAGCCTCAAATTAAGGATGAATTATCTATTTACACTTGTCATTTCATTCAGCTTTTTTTTATTATACAACTGCTGTCTGAAGTCTTTTTCCTTATGCCCTTAGAAGGTATTTACCTTCTCTGCAGTAGTCAACAAACTGCTGGTAGTAGCAGAATGCTTTTTTAGTGACTGTTTCATTTTATATATCAACTTTACACATAGTAGCCCCTGTTTCAGGGATCATAATCTCAGGCAAAAGCAAGTAATTTAATCTTTCAAAGCCAGTAATAAAGGCAGGAACTTAGGACTGCTGACTTAGAGCTTAGCCACACTGCGTTTCTTCATCTGAGATGAAGAAGCCTGCAGATTGCATGCCATTCAAGTAATTTCTATGAACTCTAACCAAATGGCGATTTGTAGAATACACGTTAGTCATAGTCCCATTAATTACTTTGATTTTTTGATGGTCCATCACGATTCCATTGCTGTCTCCACATCGTTGCTGCTACTGCCGGCCACGGAGCTGCAAGCCACAGAATTGGCACTAGCCAGAACATGTCTCTCTCTGTTTCCAAAAACTTCATTCACTGCAACACAGATAGGGCATTGCTTACACGTTTCTCTCCCAGAAACAAGTACAGCAGGTATAGCATGGTGAGCATCATGGAGTGGAATGGAAATCCTGTCCTGGTGTGGTTTGAGAGCTTTTCCCCTTTTCCCTGAGTAGGGAGTTGAAGCTTACATGTGAGAACAATCTCCCGCGTATGATACTTAAATTACAAGTCCTGTTATTTCTCCACCAGAGCATCTCTAGAGGTTTCCCTGTGTGTAATTCCTGTACCTAAGTACTGTGAAATGGATGAGTTTTGTAGAGCAAAACATTAAGTTTAAATAATTTATTTCTGGTTTTAGTCTCTCTGGTTTCCACCAAGCTCCTAAAAGCCCTCTCCAAAAATTCATGCCATTTAGTTACATGTAGCTACAACAACTGATCAAAAGAGTCCTCACTTTTATTCCTACAAGTACTCAAGAATGCGATACTTGATTACACCAGGAACATTAAGTAAAACATAGGTATTATAAGAAATCAGGTATTACACTTCAGCTACAAGAAAATAAATCATGTGGCAAACAGAGTTCTCCAATTTAGAAAAAAACCCACATTTTTTGAAGCTGAAAATGTGAACACATACCCAGTCTTGGGGTATTAAAAATATTAACCTACAGTTTCTCTCAGAGCCACAATACATTACTGAATATACAAATACACCCTGAGGGCAAGGGGAGAACCACAAGATTCAAAGAAACAAGAATGTTACCTGCAGAAATCTTGCTTATATCCCAAACACGCAGCCCTTCTCGCTCTCCTCCAAAGGCAAAAACAAACGGGAAGTCAGGGCAGCAAGCTGCACAGAAGAGAACACCCTGGGAGGGTAGGAGGAAGAAAGAGGAGGATTTTTTTTAAAGTATCATCCTAAACCAAATTCATCATCTAAAAATACTTTCTCCAAGCAAGTTTTAACAAATGTAAGCTCTCTGAGTTTCCTGAAATGTATTTTGTAAAGACAGAAAATTAAAGTCAAGAGCTGCTAATTACAAACAGTAAATCACATTTTTGTCTTGAGCCTGGCAGATACATGTTGGAGCACCTACAGTTCTACCCAGAACATTGTATCTGGTGTTCAGGTCTGAGGCTTTGAAGCAGTCTGCCCATTACATGTTAAATTGAATACTGCACTGTAATGAGAATGATTTACCCAGAATACACAAATGTGATTTTTTTTTTTTTTTTTGTTTCCTAAAGATGTTATGTTAGGTAAAACAAGATGCAAGCTAGGCAAAAAACAATTAAGCAGACATAGTTTATATATAAACCTTCTTAGAGTAAAGAAATGAATATTACTCTACCATTTTCATATCCCTGGAATGGATTAAACTTGGTCTGTCTCCCAGGATATCCCAAATTTTCACGTATTTGTCAGCAGATGATGTCACGAGGCACCCTTTAATCTGACTGCTTAGTTGTAGCCCTGGAAGATTAAGAGTGCAGCAGTGTGAGAGCACCAGGTAATCACTATTTCACAGAGATGAGGATACACTGATGAGGACCAGATTCCATAGATTTTGTTCTTCCTCATCCCCCAAAAAAGTGTGTCCCCCCCAAGTGAATAGATCTGTTTTGACATGCTTATTCATGACGTCCACTGAGAAAAGTTCACTGTTAAAATACTTTGCTTACAGTGGCTTCTCAGAAGAGATTTGTTTCACGTGCCAGCCAGCCATGATTAGCATGCACAACTCTTATTTGGTAAGCAAGGAATCACTACCACCTCCGTCATATCAGTTAAAGACATCTTCCAGATGTGCCGTGCCACTGGGGACAAACACAACACACACACAATTTACCTGACACCTCTTCATCGTGAGCTTTCAGAGTAAACAGTGGCTTATCAGAACGAGCATCCAGACAGTACACAAAGCCATCCTCTGTGCTTGCCTAAGGAAATCACAACATTTTGAAAACAAACAGCTGTAGTCACTCATTTGGAAAAAAGCTCCTATGAAATAATACCCACCCGCTAGTAAGTCTCTGTGATTTGAGACAGACTTACACTACTTCTTGGCAGGGCATGTTACACAGTGTACACAGGTCTGCATCCCCAAAGTCAGACTCCATCCAGCTGCTGCCTGAGCTATTCGACATACCTGAACTATGCTGCAGGGACTTACAGAGAAGTCTTAATCCTATACACGTTTCTTGAACTGTATTTTGAAGATGGTTGCACTACTAAGCTTGGCTTTCTTGTTAGGCAATGAAATACAAAGCCTTTAGCCTCTTAAGTGTTGGTTCAAACTTTCTGGAGCCATCCAGCAGCTGCATAATAGCCCTGTGCAAAGCTAAGTGTGATTATACCAAGAAAGATCTACATCATAAACCCAACATAACTGAGCAACTGCTTTTGTTGACTGTATACACAAAGCAACAGAGAACTAGACAGCCATTGAGATAATAAAAAAGATTTGTTTTTAAATCCTGTTTAAAAGTTTTATTATAAAAATCTCGACAAAACCAAGGTATTTTTACTCTATACCAGACAGGAGGACAGTGCCCTCTAGCGCTGATGTGAAACGCTGAATTAATATTCAGGATCTTAGCTACTTCTCAGCTGCAATTGCCTCATTACATGAAACACAACAGCAACTATGCAAAGGAAAATACATTCCAGCCACTGAACACTGTAACGACACGGCAAAGATGCCACCTCTGGAGCAAAAATGCATCAGCATCCATTGCTTTTCCACTGTCATAATGAAAAGAAGATACCTTTTAAGTAACTGACCTTGATACACTTGTTGAAAAAACTACCTAAAACCATCCTCCACCACACTGCATTTTTAAAATAAGCAATGCCAACAGTCCAACTGTCCATCAGGTCCACTATATGATTCAGAAACATTATGAACACAAAAATACAGGTTAAATGAAATGGCAACACTCAACAGACCAAGAATAGAAAAGCATGTACTCACTAAGAAATTACAAGGTGAAAAATGATTCCAGGTTACTCTTTCAACCTGACCACTAAACCGCCACATTCGATGGTTATCTTGTGGGTTTCTGCAATCATACAGAACAGCTGATCTGCGGGAAAAAGGGATAGTAAATTAAGAAAAAAAAATAAAATCATGGCAGAATACTTTATGAAGTTTGTTTTACCACTGGCATATATAGACGGTCCATGCAAACTACAGTTCAAAAATTAAAATGGAAACAACTTCACTACTTAGTCTTCCAACTCAGCAACAGATGAAAATTTCTCAGATAAGCACAAGCTTTTTCCATATGCTTCAAAGTTTCATCCTGGTTACAAACAGCCATTCTATTTAATCAAACAGAGCTCGGATTTGCTTAATACATAAGATACTTATCATACAGGAGACCATAATTATGCAAATATATCACTTAATTATGAACAGACTTCAATAAAGTAATGACTGTTCAAAATAATACACTAATTAGGAAATCAATTTGCAATACATATACAAACATTTTCAAATATGCTTTAATAGAAAAATTAATCTTTACAAGTGGTTAGGGAAATGCTACTACAAAAAGGAGAAAAAGCGGATGGGAGTTAGTGGGTCCTCTGGGATTCTTTACAGGCTTGTGCTCAGCCCAGTGGCAGCAAAATCTGTCCCAAATCAAAAAGCTCCTGGATGCAAATGCAAGAAAGGAGCAATGATGTCACACTCACATCTCACCACAATTTACATCCACAATGTGACCCACTCCCACTCTATCCTATAATTAAAGCCAAAGAAATGTGATCTAGATTTCTCAGCTCTTCTACCAGGCATTTTACAACAACAATTTTAGTACATATGCAATTTTTAATGGTCTGACTTTCAGGTTAGGAAGGCATCTGCCCACATTCATTGAATAGCATGTGGTCCCAGAAAGCTTTACAGGAAAAATCCACAAAGGCAGTCTACTAGTTTATAGACAGTACACTGGTTTATAGGTGTCTGTGGGATCAAAGGGCTGGCTAAAAAGGGATCGAGAAGCTGGTCTCAGTGTTTGGACTTTTTTCATGTTTTTACAGAAGGAAGCCTTGGGGGAAGAAAGTGGACAGAAGCAGGTTCCTAACAACGATAAAGGGGTTTTCTCCTATAGTTTCACTTAAACAGATGTAGCAAGAGCATAATCGAAGCCAGAGAACATAAAGGCTTGGCTGAAGATTGACAAGTCTATAAATATTTTAACACAAGGACAAAGTCTTAAAAGCTGAATAAAAAAATCAATATAAGAAAATCACGGTTATAGAGCGAAATTTAAAAGTTGCCCCTGTGAGATGGGAGAACAGAGGGGAAATTTTTTGGATGGCAGGGCTTAAAACAACTGGCAGCTACAGAGCTAGTCCAAGTGCGCAGACACAGACCATTTCAGAGCATCTCCAGGCTGCAATCACAGGAGACAGCCTGTTAAACTATGGTTATGGCATGCCTATCAATAGAGGCTGTAGGGAGTGGATTGGGATTTGAGGGTCCCTCATGCCCCTACTTTGGTCTTACAGTTTGGCAAAACCTGGACAAGTTTTCACAGGGGTGAGCAGTGACACATTCCCAATGCAGAAAATGCCATAAGGCCAAATTAAGAAATAAATTCAGTTTGGCGCAGATAACCGGCACAGAAAACGTCAGTCCAGATGGTTAAAGGATTTGGCTAGTCCTGAGAAAAGAGGTAAGGAAAACTAGATCTTGGCCACATACAAACCTGGCTACCTTGCTGGAAAAAAATAATGGCATTACTCAAATTTGGCACAGTTATAAGCAAATGAAAAAGAAAATGTGAGGCAACTTAACAGGCTTAATTCAATACTAATACCCTCCCTAGGTGTAACATTTGAAAATATTACCCTGACATACTTATCGTAAGATCCAGAAATAAGGGTCTGAGTTTCAAACGGATGAAACTGCAATGTCTGGACCTAGATAACAGAAGATTTTATTTTTAAAGATAAGCAATGAGATGTAACACACACATACAGGAACTTTCTTTGAACAAACAGAGCATAACCCCACCCTCCCCAAACCCAGCACATTTCCCCCCCCAAACCCCTCCTGTTAAGCTTGTTGATACTCAGATTTCTCATAAAACAGGGCAAGAGATCACATTATTTTTATTTCAAACACCCCCACCCAGTGGAAACAAGATATTTTCCAATGTAATTTAACTGAACAGAACCACATGCCCCCTTTCTGCCCTAGATATTAAAAAAAAATAAGCTGGAGAAGGTAAAAGAATATCTGCTTCCAGTTTGGGGAAAAATGCAGATGCTAGCAAAAAATGAAAATCAGGAATTTGCCAAGGGCAGTGACTTTGTTAACAGCAAAATAAGGTTACAGCTATTAATAACTAACTTTCACATTTTAATTACTAGGAGATTATTTCTGAAGTACCCATCACTATGGTATTTTAGTATCATCTATTTTAAACCTTTCTTACCTAGAACAAACTGTAACCGACACTCATTGTTTCCTTAGAGAGAGTTACAGTTTGACCTATGCTCAGAGATCTATTTTTTGTAGCTTATACCAGCACTATTAGATTCCCAACCATCAGGGCTTTCACACAAAAGGCATTTTAAAAACTGCTGTAAATCTTCACAAACTTTCTAAAGGATAAGTTAAATAACATTTTAAAAAGCGAACAGAGTGTTGTTCACAAAAGCAACTAATTCAGAAATTTAAAGAATTCTGCACAGTTGTTAGAAAATTACAGAATTGTTGTTCTAAGGATTCACTACCAAGCAGCTAATGAAAAACTGCAGTTATTTTTTTCTCTGTATTTTACAGTGGAAGAAACATAACAATTATTACATACCTTGTCTGTATGTAGCATCAGGCTGGCTGCTGGCTTACCCACAGACATATCCCACAAAATTACAGTATTGTCAGCAGACGCGCTTGCTAAAACATTCCTGATAGTGGATCAAAAAACAAGTTTTGAAAATCTTTATACAGATATGAACAAATAATGGTCAAAAATCCAAAATACATACAGAGCCTGATTCTCAGATCAAATACATGCTGGTCTATAGACTATATGTCTCAAACCTGAGGGATAACTCCCTGAAGGTAATTCTAAGTTACAAGGAAGGACTACAAACATACTAATATGATGTAATATAGTCTAACACTTACAATAACAACATTGACAGTTTTGCTTCTATTTCCCCCCGACACCACTTATAATATCATTTACTGGAAAATTTCTCGAACAAAACAAAGCAAGAAAGGCTTTGAAGCACTTCCTTTCCTTTAAGATACTATTTTTAAATATTACCTATGCAACTTAGCTCTGTTTGCACACACATACAGCCAAGAGCCAGACAAACCTGGTTTTAAAATATTTTGCTCTCTGAGTATTTATATAACTACTGAAGACCCAACAGTATACCCTTCACAGAATGCTGAAAGAAACCACTAACATTTTAGTTAGTTTACAGACACCACATTTCAACTTAAATTTGACCGATTGTGTTAAGAGCAATAAACACACAGTTTAGAAGTTTAATCAGAAAAAACTCAAAACTTTCCCAAAGGCCTATCAAATACACAGTACAATTGCTACCATTGCTCTTAAAATCAGATCTATTACCTCAACATGTTGTTTCTGATTGAAACTGCTCCCCCCTCACCTTTTTCTTTTTATAGTAACCAAGTGTTTCTGACTGACAGAGCTAACATTCTCCTGGAAACACTGTTCTTCCAAACAATGTTACAAGGGAAATTTAAGAAAATGCATAGTGAAGGCTATGAGAACATTTTACAGTAACACCATTATGACCTACAGGCAGAAAGTTATTTATAGAGAGCTGTCACAGCATGTCTTGCTTAAAAAACCCAAACAAACAACAACAAAACATTTAAATATAAGCTGCTTCAAGGTGTTCCTTGTTTTACCCATAAGCTTCCCACTTCAAGGCTGTTTTTATTTCCTGAAAGATCTACCAGTATCAATGAGTTCGTAACTCAGCACATTACAGAATTATGCATTCCAGACACTTAACTACTGTAGCCATAATTTTTGTGACTTGTCTCTATATTCTCACCAGACAACCATTTCTAGGTACAAGAAAGCTACTCTTTTGTACAACTGACGGAATGATCACTATCACGCTCTGTGCATATATGTATAATCTAAGAACAATAGACAGCATACTTTAAATTAAAAGTGCAATTTATGTACATTTACTGTGTGTCTATGTGGGTGTTTCCTTCTTCAGTATGTAGGTAAGAAAGCATTACAAGTGAAGGCTTACACCTGTTCATCAGGACTATGTGGAGTTGACTGTGTATCTTCAGAGGCATTTATGACAGTAGGAAAGAAAAAAAAGAAAAATAATCGCCTGTGTCTGACTGCAACAGTTTCAAGGCCCATGCTGAGGATCCTCTGACAGCTGAACTGTTAACAACCACCTAAGTAATAAAAAACAGCAGCATCTTTACTTCAGTCAACACATTGTCCTTGACCTCTCCCTCAAGGTGGGCCAGCTTTGTGTTGCTTTGATAGCAGCGCTTCATTGCCAGCTCATTCAGGCAACAGGGAATTCTCTGCCTAGGATAACCTGAGGGTCAGAGGTGTTTCTATAACTGTGCTATCAGGGCTTTTACACTCTCTTTTCTGTGCACAGCTCTGGGGCAAAAGCCAGAGGGGGAAAAAAAAAAAAAAACCAGCATAGCAAGGACTTCCTTCTATAGATCTACCTGTTGAAATGGTGTTTTAGGTCATTGGCAGATCAGCACAGCCCTTCTGCTTCTCCAATTTGTGCATCTGACTTAAATGTAGCCGATTTATCAAACAGCTTAGACCCACCTTGGCCCTGCCCTCATCTGGACAACCTGCAAATAAAAAGTGATCTGTAGCAAAATACAGGTTTAAAAAAAAAAATAAGACTTCTAGTTAAAAAAAAAAGGGGGGGTGTGTTTTTGAGAATTGATTCATTTCAGCACTGCTTTCAAGTTCAATGTTATACTACACTAGATTTTGGATTTATGTAAAAAATGTATGCCTAATTAAGTATGCAAATTTGTAACCATTCATTGTTATTCGAGTATTCTTTTACCTGCTTTGTTTATTCCATGAAAGATCAAGCACAGCATCAGTATGTCCTTTCACCGTCCCTTCTGAGGATAAACTCTGCGTATGCAGATACAACATAAACAGACTTTTGAAAACTACAGCTTCAATGGAAATCAAGCATTACAACACATCAGCATGAAATCCTTAATGCCTTCACAAACAACTTCATGTTTTAAATTATTCTCACTTGCTGCCACAAGGTTTTTGACAGAACTGTCTCTGCAGTACCCATACCTCGCCTCCTACCCCAGGTCTCAGATTGCTCCATTCACAGCTGGTGGGCTTACAGAACTGGTTACTCCCTTCAGGCTAGTAGAAGAAATTTCATTGTCTCCAGCTAATGTGCAGCTTCTTCAGCTTCTTTCTAAACACTCCTGGCAGTTCCCTCCCTCTCCTCCCAATTAACTGAGCTTTACCTCCTTGTAAATGCCAGCTCCTACAAATTCTAATTTAAAATGATTAAGCTTCAAAGTTTCCTGCGACAGCAATTGGAAACCACCCATAAGCCACCCCATTCTTCTTCTGTTCTTAATTCCAGGCTTTAATTATCCATACAGACAACAATTAGCATTTCAAATTGAGGTAACATTTATGAATGGCATCTTCAACAGAAATTCTGATAACTCAGTGATTTTCAGAAGCAAGTTTCACAGAACAAATTCCCCTTCCAAGGGTATTTTTTCTATTGTTTTTAAAACCAGAAGGTCTGAGAGCTCAAGAAGGAAACCCCCTTCACAATTACACAGAGTGTTCTTTAGCTGACTAACATTGCAGTGATCCTTTCTTTGGGAAACCAACATTAGCTATATACCCAGTGTTCACTATTTACTCTAGGGAGTCTTTAAGTACTTCCTGAAGCATCTACTGTATGCAAAATGTAGAAAATTTAAGTTACATTATCTTCCATACTTTTTTTACATACCAAAGAATTTGGACAATTCGTAACAACACATTGAGGCATACAATGATGGTCAGATTCATCCCACGTAACTTAGCATCCAGTCTAAACCTCAGTCTTCCTCTTCCGTAGTTAAGGTTTTCTCTGCAGTCCACTGAAAGAAACTCAGCCATTCTCTGGGTGTCTCTCTATGCATTTACCTTAGACAATCTCAACTAGCTTAAAATATGCTTGAGTTTTAGACAGATAAAGCTAACAGAGGTGAATCCTGAATAAATGTATTTTACTAGTATCCACCTTGTCCTTTATTGCTCAATGCCTTTTCAACTCTCCAACTCACAGGAAAATACCAATTTCAACCTATCACAGACAAACATGATATTATCTTCTGTAACCTCTCAAACACCATCTTTCAACATGACAGATGCAATTAAACCAGATTATCTATGATTTTTTCATTGTAGGAAAGAAAGTAATAACAACAGTATCCTTGCTCTAAGTTTTCTCCATCCAACCAGATAAACCATTTTGCAATACTTACTTTCTTTACTTTCTTTTTCTTCTTTTTCTCTTTCTTGCTTCCAAGAGAAAAGACTGGTTCTAAGGATTCTACTATATCAAGGTCCCAAATGTCAATAACCGGGGTCATGTTACCCACTGCAACATAATTTCCTGCAAGCAGAAACCCAAATGCAACCACATTTATTTAGAGTTACGAAACAGCATACTTGGCAATCCAGCTGTTGCTTGTTTCTTTGATTAAGTAAAACTTACACTTATGTGCCAGAATCTTCTATTTGAACATTTGATGTTTATAACTAACAAGGAGCAATTTAAAAATATCAACTGACAGCAGATGTTGCCAGAAGAAAATTTACTTGCTCTCCAATACACTTCCCCTTCAGTATAAGTAACTGTTCAAAGAAGCTATAAAAAAGTTCCGCGATTTGTTTTTTAACAAAAAAACAAAAACAAAAACAAAAAAAAACCAAACAAAAAAAACCAGAAAACCAAAGCAAAACCACGTTCCCTGTGCTATGGAAAAAAAAAATTTCTGTAAAACACAGGAAAAAGGTTACTAAATACATAAATATATATAAATTTTGCTGTGGTTTACAGTTAATCAGCTGCATTGGCCATAATGAGTTTGAACAAAAGCAATGTTTCATTTGCAAATGGAAAACAAAGCAGATTAGAGAAGAGCTTGCTATGGTCTGCTAATTGACAGTAACTTAATTATTTGTAATAAACCCAGTGTTTTAGTCAAATCACTTGTTATGGCAGCATCACTAAGATGACTGTATCACCAAACCAAAAAAAACGATATTCAGTTTTTCCATCTTAGTATCTTGGTCTTATTTCTGTTCATAGCACTGGAGGAAATTATTTAGTGACAACATTACATTTATATACTTTTCAAATAAAAATTATTTAACTGGACATTTACAGTATCCTTTGTAATTTACCTAGTGATTCATCAGGACTAGGATCAAAATTCAGCCATTCCAGACTTAGAGGGTAAGCAGGCAAGATAATATCATGATGTACATAAAATGAGTCCTCTTCATGATTATAAACTGAAAAAGAATTAAAGATATACAAAACATCAGTGAAGAGGAAAAGCAAGCAACTATAAACAGTTCCTTTCTGCAAAAAAGGCAGATGTGGCAAACACTAAATTGTCAAGGAGATCTAGAATGAAAATTTGCAGTGTTCAGAGTTCTAGTGTAGAGGCCAGAGCCTCCAAGACTAATGTTACGCCTCACTGAATTACACAAAACAAACAACATTCTCCTGTGTACTTTAGATAAAGAAGTGACAAGTTCAGCAAAGCTTAGACACTTTATTCCTAGCATACTACACTACTTTGTTTGTAAGATCACTTTAAAATAGATGCTCCATATCCACCACTTTCTACATCAGGATACATTAATGAAGGTTTAGACAGGTGTAATCAAAGGGGAAATGAAGGTAAAAGACAAACAGTTTTCAAATCAGAGGAAGCTGAAGTCAGTTGAAGTTACCTTCAGCAGGTTAACCGAGATACAGGAAGAGTTTTGGTAAAGCAACCATATACTAAACACTGCATTCCCTTAAGCCAGCTATTTTTCTCCTTATAATAAAAGAATTTACTAACTGGATAGCAGAGAAAACCCATTAATTATTTTAATAACACGGTATCATCACACACACAAAATGACTGTGCTGTTTTTAAGCACGTGATAGATGTTCAGATACTAACTAAAGTCTTCAGTTAACTAAGTAGTCTTAGTAGTTAACTAAGACAGGGCTACCCAATGCTATAAAGTGCAGAAGCCTATGCTACTGTTCTATAAGTTTATATTGGGAAAATAACACAGTTAATAAAATTTGTAAACACCTCCAGCTGGAGAAAATGCCAGATGCTGGTATCTGAAGAGATGCTTTCAAACACTTTGGTCTTGCTGTTTTCTTAAAACAGAATACTTTGCTTGCAGAAATATGTACCATAGCAGAAGTAGCCAGAAACATTCCCCAAAAGAACCACCCTAAGAAAAGATGGTAACTTCAGCACACTCAGTAGTACTCCTTGCTGCAACAGAGAAATCTTTTACACAGTAAAACTAAACCCATCCATAGAACAAGTGGTATTCAGACCTTATTAAGGATCATCTCTTCTAAAACTAAGATGATAAAAGTGCTGATTCTTCTACTCCTAGCAATGGAAAGCCCGTTTAAAGAAGCAAGGACAAAGCTGAAAGAAAAAAAAGCCCCAAAACAACAAACCACTAGAGGAAGCTTGCACGATATGGAAAGTAAGACTGTTTGGAAGAAAGATTGTATGTTCAGAGAATAAAAATGCCATAGTATTTTCTAAGTGTCATTAGAAATGAAATAAGGAAAGGAAATGCTATACAGCCTGAAAAAGGCACATTACCCTCTAAACAATGATAACTCCACATGAAATACTCCAGTTCTGGAAAGTGGCTAAAGCACCATGACATAAGGAAAGAGGACAAAACACACAGGGCAGATGGGGAGAAAAAAAACCTTTCAAAAACCAATCCTCTCCCCCTTCTACACAGCCATATGGAACAGGCGAGGCAAGACATATTCCCTGGATTCACTGTAAGGAACAAATCCTGTTTTACTTACCATGGACCTCCAAACTACAGTAGTCTTTATCAGCTCTGCCACAAAGGACAAGATTGTCACTGGGCTTAATCAAAAAGTCCTCCTCTTCATATTGATCCTGAACAGCAAAAAAGAGAGGACAACAGATGTTCAGCAAAGCACATAAGTACACAAAACTACACGTTCAAAAGGCTGAATCGGTCATAATTTTTAACCATACTCGAAAATGCTCAAAACCCAACACCCTGCTGCCCACCTGCCTAAAACCATCTTATGGTGGTAAACAGAGAAAGGCAGGAACTGGACTCAATCATAGGGAGACTGTATAGTTATGACATAAATTGAAGGACTGTTTATGTGGACCGAGGTGGATTTAGAGAGATGTTTAATTACCAAATATGAAACCATATTTTGAGGCTACCACAATGCAGCCCATTGCTAAAAAGAAAATCACCACCAGGAGCCCACATACAATAGCTTATTTCCCTTGTGCTCTCATGCCTTCAGCATTTATATAGCGTAACAACATTTTACACAATAAGCATACCGTAACTGCTCCTCACATCCAGGAAGCAATTCCAAGAACATTAAAGCATTGTCTACTTTCTGGAAAATATTTCCAGAAAAGTACTGCCTAGAGCAATACTGGGCATTCAGCTGTACCAGAACAGATGTTAACTTCTCATCTAATTTTCATTGTTACTGAGGAATTGAAGGCATTCAGGGAATTTTTGTTAGTGGAAAACTAAGAACTGTACATAAAAATCAATAGTCTTACACAAACAGAGTACCATCCTTCAAATATACAACACATACAAGACTTCTTGGACTTCTGTTTCAAGCTTTTTATTTTTTTTATTCACTTCAAGCATCTTTTCAATATTTGAATTCTATCAAGTACTGCAATTCTGCGAGTTAATCAACTTAATGTTACACAATACTTAAGTCTTCAACAGTACTAGTAGTAAATACCAAAAACCAACATAAAATGCATGTTGAAGAACTAAAAAGTACTCTCTCAGAATTTGAGGAAAGGACTTGAGCCTAGGAAGAAAAGCCTGAGAAGAAGGTGTTCACTTTTCCTGTGTCTGGAAGAAAGTTAGCTTTTTTGACACAGAATAAACGCAGCTCATATTCTCTCTAAATCCCTGTGTGAATACTTCTGACTATAAAAATCACTTTTAAAGCATTTCTCACCTCTACTGGTACACAGGAACAAGAAAAATCATCAGTCAGTGGAACACAGAGAAAACATACAGTGCCCCAAAGTGCACGTAGCAAGTGAACTCATTTTAAAGATAAGACGTATGCCTTCCTCCTTGAGCTTTGTTACAGTATGTGAAGTCACCATAACAATTCCTTGTCTGAGACACACGTTTGACAAAGTCCCCTGACACACAAACTAGACGTTGTGGTAGAAGCCTACAACTACTCTTTTTCTTTCAACCTCACTAGCTTTGTAAAGAATCTGAAAACAGTATAGAAAGGACAACACCCAGAAAAATCTCAGAATCTTTATGCTTGGAAGAGGTCAAAAAAATTCATCTGCTCCATCACCCTGCCCTAGATGATCGTAGTCTCTCCTGGTTGCTCTCTAGATTACATTGTCTCTTCTCACGCAACCTCACCTTGTAACTGATTTCTGTAATCTCTACATGTAAATTAAGTCAATCACAAATTGCAATCTATCCTTCTGAACTAAACTGCAGGATATTCTCTGGAATCTCTCTATATCTTTTCTGAAGAGGCACCCAATATTCTAGCCAAGGCAATATCAATGTTAAGTAGAGTAGAAGGATTACCTCATGTCTTGCATGCTGCATCCCTGTTCACCAGAAAAAGACAAACAGGCAGCATAACAGGACAGCACTGCTGACATAGTTAGCTTGTGCTAGACTACAGCCAGAGACTTCTTTACCCCCTGCAGAGCTCCAACAAAGCAGACTCCTGCAAAGATGCTCCCCATCTGATACTTGATGGAAACTAATCCAGGCAGAAGCGGTCAACTCCACAGTATGCTGTGCATATATGCTTAACAGGGACATACTTCTTCATGCCATACCCCCAATTCGACACGTAGCCTGAGTCCACCTCAGCTTGGTTTCTTCCACAAACTGGTGGAAGGTGTAAGAGTCCTGCAATCTGGGAAGTTTTCTAACTTGGGTCGTTAGTGGCCTGAGATTTGTTATTTCTTCAAGCATTTTCTGTGTCCTAGTAGATAGGTGACAAACCACTCCACATACAGAAGCACGTGGTATAAATAATGAGCCAGTTCCCTTTAACATCTGACTTAAAAGTAAAAAGCACGCGTACAAGGACTGCACAAAGCAACCTTAAAAGGAAAGGGTTCCGTCTGACCAAAAATCTGGCACACCTTTAGAAAAGGACTGCAAGCACTGTTCATTTTTAAGTTCATGCTGTTTAAGATAAATTTAACATTTTTATAGTACTTACAGTGGTTTTTAGAGTGATGTAAGGATCATGATCATTACTCCCATATACTGCCAGAGTAGCCAAAGAGTCTCCAAGTTTTAGATCACCTAGATGGGAATTTCAGAACACTTTTTATCTGTCAATGACAGATGAAGTCAGAAACTCCTGTACCAATAACTGTATTACCTGTATTGCAAAATATCAGGAGTGGACTAAATGAACTTCCAAGTTCCAAACATAAGAACCTCAGTAAGGTTAATTGCTTAGTGCTTTCAGGGACTTCTGCTGCTCTGCTTCAGCACTACAGCAGGGGGAGTGACAGCCTTTCCAACGTGCTCTCAGTTCTACTGTCAGGGAGGGGGACACTAAATGACTTCCAAAACTGGGGCAAGCAGATAATTAAAAATGTGAATTTCCAGCAGTTGAAACACAGCACTGTGTAGTTTTAGGATACTAATGTCTTAAGTACAGCAAGAAGCAAAAACGTTCTTCACTTACACTGCATATCTGACATTTAAGTTTTTCTTACCTGTGTGTTCCTCTTCATCATAATTTTCCAAATCATATTCTTCCAGTTCATCATCAGACGGGTCTTCATTGTTATGAGAAGACTTAGCTCTGCCGGGAATGGCGACATTCGTGCCATGTTCCGTCTGGCCTTCATCACTACCATCAGCGTCACCCCTGTTTAAAGATACACATCCCTGAGAAACCGCGACAGACATTTAGAATGCTTCCAAGTAATTGCTTAGGGGAGCGCTAACAAGATTTCAGCACACAGTCCTGGCTGTTCACATGGGTTTCAAGTCTTTACACCAATAATTTGGAAATCCATTCACTCCTTTCCTATCTTTTCCCAAAGTACAAGGCACCATTCTTCTCAGGCTTCCAGAGGAAGTTTTTCCTTGAAAGTTTTCATGACAAAATGTGGCACAATCTTGCTCGACAGAACTAAGCAGTGTGCCTAAATCCCTTTCTCTTACCCTTTTTTTTTTTGTGGATACAATGCTCTCAACCTCACCTCTATGCATTCGCACGTGTCCAGTTCATTCCTTCCTTTTTTTTTTTTCCCTGTCATGTGTGATGAGTCTTGCATTTCTTCAAGATTTTTAAGACTTCATTTCCTCATACTTCCCATACTTACATTAGAAGAAAACACAACATAAAATTCACTAGGTAGGAACATATTGCAAATGATTACTTCTTATAGGGTAAACTACGCAACATCCAGAAAACTCAGAACTTTTGTAGTAGCAGTTCCGTACGCAAGGAATTCAGTAGAAGGAAGTGTACATTAAACATTGGCTGAGGACCTAACAGACATCTGAGATGTATCAATGGAACGTGCTCCATAGGAACTCATCCCTGCCGAATACACTGTATTTCTGTCCTGCATGCAAAATTCCCAGGCATCAATGAGCCAAGATAGTTCTCATAGAAAATTATTTCTAAATTAAATATCAGAAACCTGTTTTTATAAACTGTTCAGTAACATAAGCACTTCACATTACCAGTTTTTTCCTTATAACAAGATAATTAGAGACTCTAAACCTGAGTCCGATTTGTGATCTTTGCACTGCAAAAAAAAGTGACTGAAGTTGTAACAAATTGACCAATGTACCAGATGTTATAAAGAGATTATAACACCTTTGGCTGTTAAAGGCAGTCTTTAAATTTCCATCCTGAAGTTTACCAGAATGCATAACAGAGAACACCTCAAATCTTTCCATGTTTTTGAAATTGCGAGAGAAAGGAATCCACTCAAAAAAACCAGAAGCTTACATGCATAAAGAAGAAACAAGTAACACCACAACATTAAACACAATTGGTTAAGAAATTAACATAAAGTAAGAATCTTCTAAACATTTAAGATGATTGTGGAACCATTAAAAAACAAGAACATAACAAAACGCATTCTGGGACAAAACACTCTGTTCACCAATAAAGTCACAGATCCATCTAATAGAAATTGGGTGGATAATATTCACCCAACTGTAAAAGCTTTTCCTGCTACCTACTGCATCTGTTCAATCTTACATACTGTGGTATAACCACACACCCTACGTAGCTGAAACAGAATCAGAAGCCTAAATCTATGAAGAGATCTAACTAAAAAAAGACCAGAAAATGGAATAAGATCTCAATCCCTCATCCTTTTCTAGACAAAAGAGAGCCCTTTCTTTATTGTCTTCCATAGCTGTTTCCTAAATCTGTCACTTCTGTTATTCTTTTCTAAGTTTATTTACATTCTTCTTAAAAGCAGAGCAGCAAAACCTAACACACCTAACACAACTCCACAACTAAGGACTTTCAGTGCTGAGTGGAGAGTTTTGATGTCTCTAGTCTCATACGTGAACCATAAATACACCCGAGTGATGTTTTGCCTTTTTTGCCAAAGCATAAATACCACGTCATTCTGAGCTCCGCTGCAGCCTCCAGACTCGCTTGGGTCGTAACATCTCACCCTCAGTATCCACTTTTTCACGGTCAGTTTGGGACTTCCATCTTGGTTGGCCACATCTCCAAAGCACCCATGGTTACAAACCCAACTTCTTCCTTCTCACTCGAGGCAGGAATGCCAACTCCAGCCAGGACCAGGCCCCAGGCGGGTCTCTGCGGACTTCACCTGAAACGCTCATCCAGTCTGACAGCACACGCTCGACCACGGCACAACCGCAGGGGAACACAACCCCTGGTGGCGTATCCACGACGAAGGCAGGATATGTGCTCCATCCCACGTTTCCCCTTTGGCTCTCCGGACCAAGGACCTTCCCGGGCTCACTGGACGCAGCCGCTTCAGGAAGAAACTCGGTGCTGGCTGGCGCCCATCTCCACGCCTCGCTGCCTCTCCCCAAGCCGGGCCTTCAGCGAACGCCCCCCCCCCACCCCAACCCCGGGGTCTACGGTGCGGGCCGG